AAAAAGTAAAAAATTTAGAACCAATTTTACACAAAGGCCCAAAAGAAGAAAAATTTAATACAATTAAATTTCAAAACACCCTATAAATATGCAAAATAAGAATTAAAGAAATGTGAAATTAAAAACCTAAAAATTATAATAACCAGGGGAAAAAATACCCAAACAAGAAAAAATACAAAAGAAGATGAATTCAATCAAATTTAATATACGTTATCGAGAGGAGAGTACATTAAACTCTCAACATTTTCTGATGAAATGTTATAATTAAATATTTTAGAATAGTTTATCAGCTAATTTTGGATACAGTAACGCAGTAGTTTTCAAATGGGATTGTAACTGAGCCTGATACTTCCTTCACATTTCTTTAATTCTTATTTTGCATATTTATAGGGTATTGTGAAATTTATTGGTCATCCTTGCTCAGGGGCCATACTAATCTTCTCTGTATCGTTCCAATTTTAGCATATGTACTGACAAAGCAAGTACTAAATTTATTGGTATTGAATTTTAATTCTTTTGGGTCTTTGTGTAAAACTGCTTCTAAATTTCTTACCCACCCTCCTTACCCAGCTTAAAAGTCCAACTCGGCCTTTAATTTCGCAATCATTGCTTTTACAATGTAAAATATGAAAAAAAAAAAAAAAAAAAAGATTTATTTTGGACCCCCCCCCCACAAAAAAAAAAAAAAAAAAAAAAAAAACGAAATCTAACTTTTGATGCGGTCACCCGGTTAATATACTCGTATGTAAAAACGTTTCCCACTCATTTTGAAAAAGAAATGAAAATAAAAGAAGTTTCACTGCTATTGAACAAAAATTGGCCTTGATATTTAATTTCAAAATTTGCAGTTTTTGCTGCCATTTTGAACTTGCCTTGAGAGATCGGTTAATTAAATTAGATTAATTAATTCGAGGAAATACGTTTAAATGAAGTGCATCGAAAACTGTTTACAATTTAACGGGTCGTACAAGGAAGTCATGGCCTCCACATCAGACTTTTTAAAAGGTGAATACATCAGTTTTTTATTGAAATTCAGAAAGACGACAAAGTAGCAAAAATTGGTAAAAGCTCATTAGCACTGCATCGCACTTTAATCTATAATTAATCTAGTCATAAACCATTCGTTTATTGCACTTCAGAAAGACGGCAAAGTAGCAAAAATTGGTAAAATCTCATTAGCACTGCATCGCACTTTGATCTAGGCATAAACTATTCGTTTATTGCACTTCAGAAAGACGGCAATGTAGCAAAAATTGGTAAAAGCTCATTAGCACTGCATCGCACTTTGATCTAAGCATAAACTATTCGTTTATGCCTAGAACACAGTGCGAGGCAGGTCCCTCGAAGCCCTAATATACGCAAACTTCTTCTGTGGAATGAAGAAGCGCTTGCTATTATGCGACAAATATTTGAATTTCCAAAAAATTCTACGTTATACTTGCAAGACTATTAGAGTGTTTAAAGTTAGGAAACATGAAAAGTCGACTAGCGAATCATGTATTTTCCAGATGTCGGCTAGATGTGCTAGTTCTTACACCACGTACGCCTGTGTCGAAAGGGTTTACTATTTTTGATATAATCTTGGAAATTTGCTATAGCATTCAGTTATTAATTTTAAATGATATGCCATTTCTAAATGTTTTCATAATCAATCATTAAATTAATTTTTACATAAATTATGTCAGTAGCCCCTCAAACAGTACTATGACCAAAGTGAGGAATTTTTAGTTCCCTTTACGAAGTAAATGAAGTATTGTAGTCGCCAAAAATTTCGGGCATCATATTTCAACCAAAATATCCATTTCAATCCATCTCGAAACAATTTGAATATTTTTTTTTTTTTTTTTTTTTTTTGTGAGACATCTGTGCGTACGGACAGAATATAGGACTATTTTCGTCAAAAAAGCTTTGTAAAATGAATTTAAAATGGATTCGGAAGAGATTTTTCCCTTGACGTCTGTACGTACGTGCGTATGTGTGTATCTCGCACAACTCAAGCATAAGTAGCTGTAGAACGTTGAAATTTTGTGTATGGGATTGCTATAACATATAGTGTGCATCTCCCTTTTTCGTTGCAATCCGCTGCACCAATCGTGTATAAATTCGTGTAAAGGTAAAGGTAAAGGTAAAAGTATGGGGGACACCAGCGATGTACCATAGGTCAACTGGTAATGCCTTCCCATACTAACTCTTGAGAGGAAAAAAAAAGGGGGAGGGGCATTGCAATTTTATAAGAATTGCAAGATGAAGCTTTCAAAGGTCTCAGGTTTCCTATTATGGTACATCGTGCAATTCCACAGTACACTCCCCGCATCCAGTATTTATTAAAAGTAATGGTGTAGGGATAAGTAGATTACAAATACGGTAGTAAGAACACAATTTGAGATTCACAAGATAATTTGAACATCTGATTTGGTGCACAAAAATAGGAGATAAATAATTAATAACAAATAAACATAATGAGATCATTATAATTAGTACTGGCAACACAATGTTAAATGAATTGTTATAATAATGCTAAAGAGGTAGGTGTCCATGGGTTATTTCAGATATTTGTTTATTGCAGTTTATAAAGTTCAAGAGCGGATCCATTTTGTCCATAATCACAGCATGTAAAAGTTCACTAAGTTTAAACTGTATGTGGACTACACTTGACAGAGATCTAGGCCGTAAGAAGAGAGTCGTTGCATAATTTTCTGAAACTTTGGATATGATGTTTCTTTAATTAAAATCTTTGGAATGCCAGGAGGTCAGTTCTTGGAGATTTTATGTGAATATCCTCAGTTAAGGGGCATGAGAAAACGTAGTGATCAGGAGTTCCCTGTTCCCCATATAAATATAAATTCGTGTATAAATATATGTATATCAAGGACTGAAGTAGACTACTTATCAAAGACTACTTTATTTTTAAGCAAGTCAAAGGTATCCCAATGGACGCACACTCAAGTACTTCCGTCTGTAATATCTTTTCATTCATCAAAGAATTTACCTTCCAAAAAATTTACAATAACAAGATTTAATTTACTACACCCATACTTAAAGATATATAGATGATCTTATTACATTTATTAATCTTAACAAGATTGAAAATTCAGAGATTTATCCAGTTTGCCTTACTCTTAATAAAACAAATAATTCGCAAACTATAATCGACTATCTAGATCTTCAAATAATTAACCTCAAAAAGATTCTACTGTTTGACAAAACACGCGACTTCAAATTCAATACTAACAAATTAAAAATTAATAAATTGGATTTCCAATATTTCTAAGAAAGTTATTAGTGATAGTGTATTAAATGAAATACAAAGCCTTAAAAGTATTTGTACAGATATAATGAATCTACAACTCGAAATTCTACTACTTATTAAAATTCTCAAAAAAAATCAAGTACCTAATAACTTTACTAATCATTTTCTTAAAAGAGTAGGCGTTAAGTACTCTATCTAAATCATTTGGCTGATAGGTACAAGAAAATTTATTCCTAAACCTGAAAAGGCAGTATATGTTGGATGACTATCAGTTGAGGGATTTGTAAATAGAGTAATTGCTGAAGTTATTGTATATAATGTAAAAAATCATTGTTTCTAGAGTTTTTTATTGCTGTTACTAAAAAAAGGGGGCCTATTTCCAAATTTTATAAGTCTGCTTAGTAGCTCGTGAGCAGTGAAGATTACTAGGACTTTTTACTTTCTTATACGATCTAAAAAGGAAGTATTGTAATCGCGAAAAATTTCAGGTAGCATATTTCAAAGAAAAATATCCCATTTTGACCTCTTTCAAATGCAATTTAACGATGTATTTCCGTGATATCTGTATGTAAGGACAGAATAAAACACTCTTTTCCTCCAAAAAAATTATAAAACTGTTTTAAAATGAATTCTGAAAAGAATTTTTCCTGGCGTCTGTACGAACGTACGTACATATCTCGCATAACTCAAAAACGAGTAGCCTCAGAACGTTGAAATTTTGTATATAGGACTGCTATAACGTGTAGATGTGCACCTCGTATTTTGGTTGCAATCGGCAGCACCAAACGTATCTAAATATATTTATATATATATCCACTTTGTTACCCGGCTCGGCGCACCAGCGGCAGAGCGGTAAAGTCGCTGAACACTGGTAGTTCGGTCCGAGGTTCGAATCCCGCGAACGGGCTGGCTGCATGGGCGTTTTCGTGGTTTTCCCGATGTGTAACGTGTATACGAGCCAGTTTCCCTTAGAAAGTCCTCCACGAAGGCATCCCTCCCCTTAGTCAGATAGCCCTCGAGGCTTTGCCATAATCACACACACACACTGTTACCCGGCTCAGTGATCTCAGTTTCTTTACTCTTATATGTTTGTAAATTGTACATTTTTTTGCTTTAAAAATGATTGAATTATGTTGTTCTTATCTTCCGGTCAAGGTTTTTATGCCTTTAGTAAATCTGTATTCAATATTTTTAGAATTATCAACAATTTTAAAATTGTTTAAGTGCCGCTAAGCCTAATAATGTTTTTGATGGCGGCCATTGCTCTTGTTTACATATGAAACAGCAGGATAGCGGATTTGTTGCCAATCTAGAGAAACTTAGCTTCGCAACAACAAAAATAACGCCTTCATTTATTATTTAAATCATGTTTAATCCTTTCTGGAATTTTTTCGAGGAAATAAGCGTTTAAGATTTTCGTAATTTTTAATACAGATATTTTGAGTTTTTATGTATTTTTGCCTTGTCGCGAAGTGAAAACTGAATTAATGAGAAATACTCAATCGTCTGTGAAAAACTGTTTCTTTTTTGTTTTGTTTGCTTAATTTCTTTTATACATCGTTCTAGATCTATTACAGTATTTGAATAGAACATGTGGCAACGATTAGATAATTTTTCAAATAATATAAATTTTGTGCATTTTGAGTTCTATAATATGAATGAAATATAGTACTGTTAAGTAAACCTAGCGCCAGAGTGTCGCTATGGTAAAGAAAGTGAATTTTAAAGAATGCATTTATTCTGTTGTGGTTTATGCGCTGTCGGCGAAGTAGGTTTAATTCAATCTAATAAGTTTAAATGAAATGCAAGAAAAAATGCGTATAATTTAATATTCCGTACAAGGAAGTTATGTGGTGTACACATCAGATTTTTTCTCTTTCGGCTATGACAATTAGCCAGAAATTAATTAATTTCCTTTGTCTGGTCAGTTTAAAGATAAAATTTCAGCAGATGCCTTACTCGAAAGACAGTTCCACAACCACTTCCTTCCCGCATTCTAAAAATAGATTTTCAAAGTCCCCGACTGTAACTCATTTTCGTTCTGCCTCTGTCCATCCTGGTTCGAATTCCAAATTCCATTCTGGGTACGAAGACAGTAACGAACATGTCTCAATTTTAACACTCACAAGAACCTAAGTTAATTAATTCATCTTCTGGCCATTTATGTATATTATGTACCTTTCCTTTTATATATTTTTGTATCTTCTTATCTTCTGTAAATATTTTTTTAACTTTT